TCGCAAAACGAAAACTTATATAGATTCAGGGAAGTACATGCTGTATTTCTCTCTCCAAGTACTACGCCACCTAGCAGATAGAAACAATACTTATTAAACACTGCTATCTGTGCAAAATTGAGTAAGAAAATATTGTATCACTTTGAGGATCCATTGCACAACTATTATAATCGCAATACAAAAATTTAGACTGTAATATTTTATATAACGTAGAACACAGTTAACAACAGATTTCTGTAAAGCGTATTACTAAAATGGAATTCTTTTTACAAGGTTGTGAATAAAAGTTCACCTTACCAAAGTCAACATCCCTAGAGTAAAGAAGATTTACGTTTTGATATTTCTAGAATCATTGGACTTATCGTTTACAGGGGATCACACCTAATTTTGGAGAAAAACTAGTTAAAATTTTAAATGAAAGGTTTTGCGGTTACAAGTATCTTTCTGTTAAAAGCGGTTGGGACATCGACCTAAGCCACGAAATTTTTACTAATAATATACTAGTAACGGCCTATCTGTTATCTTAATAATAAGGACCTAGCCTTCGGAACATGTGATACACTTCATATATAACATACGTTATTAGTCTATAAGCATATGAATTGTGGGGCAAAATTAGCCTAGTGGTTAGTGTTTTGAGCTGTAGATTGAAGAGTCTGGGGTTTTAGACGTATTGTTGCTTAACACATTCTTCGATTTCAATTGTAAGAAGATCAAAAAGTAACATTCAATCCCAATATTTGGTTTAAAGAACTAGACCTTTGTGGTGGCAAGTGCTGCTGGATGTCTTCTCTCTGGTCAGTAATTTAAAACCAAGGATGGCTTTGCCTAAATTATTGAATTTCTGACTTGGCCATTTAATCCATTATTCATATAAGGTGTTGATCAGGTTGAAAATTTCAGTTTCAATTCTCATAAATTGTTGCAAATACTGCATGAGAATTTTGACAATGTTATTATGGAGAATCTGAGATTATTCTCTGGTCACCAAATTCTGGCACAGTAGGATTATTGTTTTGTATTTACAACAACGTATATAATTGAAGTCATACCAAGATTCCTGTTTGTGTAGAAAAATTGTTAGGGTTAATTCTTGGAACTGAACAAGACAAATTTTAAATAATATTATACGTTTGATTGTTTGAAGTTAAGCACAAAGCTAAACAATGGCTATCTGTGCTCTGCCCACAGGTATTGAAACCAGATTTCTAGCATTGTAAGTCTGCAGACCTATTGTATCATACCCAATATTTGTCTCTAATGTGTCATTATATTTTTAATTATATATTTTTCACTGATTAAATATTCCACATACAAATCAATATATTAAGTGATTCATACGTACAAACATCAAAAATGAAAAATGCAATAACTTGTCTGTTTTTAAAAGTTTTAAATGATGGGTTCTTTAACATGTGCTTTGTTTATAGCAGGTCTTGTGAAAAAAAGAAGACAAAAGAGAACTACAATATACCCTTCCAAAATTTTAATTCTTACATTAAAATGGCTACTGTTTAAAAATCCTGTAAAACATCATGAAAATACAAACTCCTTGAATGGTATCCTAACTCTTGTAAATCATTCAGCAAGTTATTTACAAATTACATGATTTATCATTTTAATATATATATATAAGAAAATTTCTTTTCTGTAAAAATTGTTATATCACTTGTAAATTTTAATTGTGACTATCCCACTTGAAAAATATGATTGTACAAGTAATAACACATATTATCTGAAGCTGACAAGCTTCAACGTTTACCACCAAAATTCTTTAACTTCAAGAAAGCATGAAATATAACAAAAATAAAAAATTACCTTTTCCAGAACATAAAAATGCAAATACCACAACCACCCAAAATATTACCATAATGTAATAAATTAAAAAATCACCGGTCCAATCATGTCACATAAAAATAGTATGTTAGACTTTAAATTACACCAATGAAAAAAGTATTTATAAAAAGCTTATCTTTACAAAGTGTATCACGTAGTATGGCTATATAAAAATTTCAATTACGTGGCCTGGAATTTCTAAAATTAAAAAAAAAGAACAACAAAGATCTCAAACATTCTATTCTAACATCAAAACTGGTTTCACTCAAAAATGGTAAAACAAAAAACTCTTTGGTAGCTCCAGTTGTTTCAAGTATTATCAATAAAACAGCAACAAAAGTATATTTGTGTTTAATCTCTGGATCAACATATAAGCACATTGGCTGTATATTTCACAAATTAATTATTCATTAATTCGAAATCTACATTTTTTTTATATCATAGTACTAAAATAATAAAAAATATGGCAAGAAACTTTACATCTCTTATAAACTTGCTAAATGAAGCTAGTTAAGTTAAAATCTTCCTCTAGAGACATTCAAGAAAAATCTTAACAGAAATTTTTAAATATTGTTATATGCTGAAATGGTCTTGTTATTCTCAAACTCTATGATGTTACACAAGTATTTACCTTAATCTCTAAAAGCTTTGTTTGTAGCTAGTGATAGTGAAAAATGATATTCAAAAACACTACCAAGGATTCCCATATCTCTTGGATCTGCAATTAAGTATTGCCTCTGAAGCTTTATGCAAATATTAAAAACTTGGTTTTATTCAAGCACAGAAAAGAGTTAAACTGGAAGAAAAATCTATTGAAAATAATAAATTCTTCTTTCACCTTAAGCTTATGTTTACTGTAATATAAATAACTTTTTTCAGATTTCCCATATTAACTGCTAGTGTACATGAAAACTATAAAAAAACCTGAGGTTTGTTCTGAAGTACTTTAGAAACCATGGCTTCAAAATAAGCAACATAAACTTGAAACTTTGAAATATACCTCACCACTATATTTTGATTTTATTTTCACTCTTTCAACCCCAGCTTGCACTGCTGCTTTTGTGACCAATACACAACATGGCACGTTTTAATTTTTTTTTTTTAAGTAGAGTTATTATAAGCTAGCAAAAAAAAAAATATACAATTGGCACCATGTAGCTGCAAATAATTAGTGCTGCCTCTTGGCACACATTATTTAATTTATTGTTGATTAGGAGAATAATAAATTATAAACTGATATTTTGACTTTAGTTAATTTTTAAAAATACCTTTCATAATAAGAGTTCTACACTGAAACTGTTTCTTAATATCATTAAATGGATATTTAGAACAGATTTATTGAAATGTTTCAATGAAGAGTTTGTCACAATTAAAATATCCTCAATGTGATATTTGTGACAACTTCAGCTAGGCTGATCTGCCAGAACCAAGAAACAAAGTACAACATCAACTATGTCATATACAGTGGTAAAGCTATAATTCATTTACATCTGTCACAAGTGAGATATCCACGTGAGATACCTACTGTGTCAGTAGTCCAACCAGTTACTCCTATGCCAACATAAAAGTATTATAAGAAAATACTTAATAGTGACACTCCCTACATCAATTTTAAAACAAAACAATAGTTATTTTTCTTGAAATATATTTCCCACTGACAACAAATAAAATTAAGAGTTACCTGAAACACAAGTGTCAGATATATATCACTAACAGTGATAATACAGACACTGATGCTGTTATGAATTGTTATATCTTTTCAGCTGTTTGGCTGTGTCAAACAACAGAAAGATGTCCATCAATCAAAAAGAGAAATATATTAATAGGAATTATGAAATATTTTAAAACAAAAATAAGAAGCCAATTTTTAAGTTGTTATAACTTCAGATAATGACATAGAGTAAAGCAACTGCACTTCTTTGATCTCAGTTTAGAGATATCACTAACACCAGCCTGCTAAGAGAAAAAGAAAAGACTACACAATCCCAAGCAAGGTCTTTGTTCTCCAGATACTTTCCAGACAGTAGAAATTCTCATTAACCAGTTTAGAAAGAGAGGAACTTAAAGGATTCAGGAAAAGAAGGATCATCTTTCAGCTCAGCAAAGCAGAACTGTAAGCCATCTGGTGGTAGGAGTATGAGGTAGGCAACAAAATACTTTTAGCATGCATCCCGCAAGCCTCAAGTAAAAATCATACATAGCACAATGTATAGTGTAATGTGTCGCAAACCATCTCCCATTTTCCACCAACACTCACGATCTGCATTTTGGAACCTAGGCTTGATCCTGCTTTACCAAATATCACAGTTTTGGCTACTTTCTGCAGCCATATTTGGCTAAATGAGGGTTCTAGCCTGAAAGTTAGGAAAATGGAGACTTTCTTGGAATTGTGTAGTGCCTTTTATAAATCTGGAGAAACAAGGCCAGATAGGCCATATCTTTAACCTGCAATCTCAGAATCATGCGGCATAAAATTCTGCAGTCAAGCTTTTAAAACTATGAATATAGTACAATAATTGCTCTACTACACATAAAAACTATATCTTAAGTGTTAGGAAAAAACAGATTTTCCAGAGATGAAATTTGAAGTGTCTGCAAATATTTTTCAAGCTCTAAATTCACAGATTTTGAAAGGCAAATCGTTCCATCATTTTTAGTGTAAACTGTAAGATTAAGACAGAAGCTAAAAGCACTCATAAAAACAATTGTAAGAAATTATTGGATTAAAAAGTATTAGGAAAAGGTTCTGGCAGATCAATAACACAAAAAAATTATAAAGTAGAAAAAACAAAACACAATTTACTGAATTTATTTTGACAAGTTTCTAATAATAAACTTTCTTTCATAAAAAAAAGATGGCAGCACCAGCATCAAGCTGCTAAGCTAATAACACTAATCATTTTGCCATAAAGTTAGTGATCACCACGCAGAAGTTCCATAAGCAAGTGGAAGCTAGGGACATCACCACCACGTTGTTTGCTGTCCAATGATTCTTTGCCAAACTGGCAGGCTCGCTCCAATTCTGGGATTCGTAATAGTAACTCTCCAAATTTACTAGGTAAATTAGGATAGTTACTTCGGGTGTAGGCTTGAAGAGCTTCTAGTACTTGTTTCTGACAGGTCCGCACCTTATCTGGTTCCTTCAAGCCACTAACATCTATAAAGATTCAAAAGCTTCTATAGATTATAAGCTTACTAAGCAAAGATGATAATATTTCACATAATTGATATGGGTTTCTCAAATGAATTTTATATCAGTCTTATTGTGATGCTATTATGATTAAATGTCATAAACCATAAAGCTTAAATTCATTTTCTGTTGTTTTTTTTCAGCTCACAATGGTGAATACAGTAAAAAAACATTTAACTATATATTGCCTTTCCATTTTAAAACAAACATGGAATTTGTGTTTGTTTTAAACAAAAAGTTGCACAATGGGCTATATGCACTGTGCCTAATGCAGGAATCAAACCCCAAATTTTAGTGTTATAAACCCTGCCAAGCCACTGGGGAGCCAGGGTTTCTGTAAAATTAAAAAAAAACATTATTTGTTTGTAATTTTGAACTCTATTATTAATCAATTAACAAGATAAAACAAATATGTAAGAAACCTATATAAGAACGAACTTGGTTTTAATTTTACTTTATAAAATATAATAAACATTGAACTTCTCCACAATATACAAATATATATATACATACTTATATATGCACTAATATAATATACACATCACATCATTTGTATATTTTGCTATTTTTAATTTAAATAAAATAATAAATGAATAATTTTACTCTTTCAAAATACCAATTTATTTTCAAAAATAGTGAACTACCTAAAATGAAACAAAGGCCAATAGCAGAAATAATCCAATTTTGCAGTTGTTTTATTTTGTTTAAATGAAAGCTGGAAGTGAAATACATGCTCATGGAAATAAAAAACAACAATTTTTCTTAATTTATTTATTATACAAATTGCATGCCATTAACAGTCATACATATATCAGTTTTTGGTATACTGTGCCATCAGGGTATTTTCTTTCTGGAAATATGTACAACTGACATTAGAAATGTGTTTGTTTAACTATAAGAATATAATGTCTATTTTTCCTACAGGTTCAAACTTCTGGGACACCCTGTATATTAGAGTACCAGTATAATGTAAAATTTATTATATTTACAAAGTTCCCTTTGTTAAGTAGTTACAATTCAAGCACTGAGTATCAGTATTTTTATAAACCAGGCAACTTAAAGAAAGTGGATGAAGGAAACATTCTGGCTTCCAGACTTCCAGAAACTGCATTATTATAGGTTGAAAAAAGTACAGTTTATTCACTACAGGTCTTATTGGGTTTTAGTGTAATCTTTAAAGAGTAAGGAAAATAGATGGAGCTGTGTAATGTTTATAGAAGGTTGGGGATGGAAGAATGTTTTTTGGTGTATTTTTCCCCATGGCACCCTGTACATACAAATATATAATGAATTTCATTATCTCATTGATTAGTCACTAATTACATCAAAATTAGGATTTAACAATAACTTTACATAAAACAAACATTAAGAGCAAACTCAAACTAACTTGACTAACTGTTGATGAAGATAATATTAAGCACATAGAGAATTACTAAAACTGTAGCTGTACACATATGGTTCTTCTTTTTTTTTAGGCTAAGTCAGTCAGTGAGCTCTCACTCCCAAAACATCCTCACTCCCTTATATGATTTTTTTAACAATGGCAGCAAAATGTATATCGACTTCAACAATGGAATTTACCTCTCCCCTCTCCCAATTCCAGCACTGATAGTGATAATTACTTATTAACAAAATTTACTTTAAAATGTAAAAAACAAACTTATTCTATATAAGTAACATTATAATAGTTAGGGTAATCACAAATTACCGGCAAATTTTATATTCCTTATTACTTTTGTTAATTTAAACATTAAATGCAATTATTTATGTTCTTTATTTATCAAGTAAGTTCTATTTATTATTTTCTCAGCCTTTCTTATTTTAAAATTATCATATGTTTATGATTCTCGTTATTTATGAAGCATCCTCCTTATGAGTCTCTACTTCCTGTAAACAACTTTTATTTGTTCTGTTACGACTTTTATACAAAAAAAAACTAAAACAGTCTTAAAGTTTTAAAAACACTTTTATAATTATGACAGTAAAACATGTTTTCAAGTTATTTGCTGAGAGCATAATTCAATAACAGAATAAGGTCTTACTGAAAATAAACATCAAGTGGCATTTTTGGGGTAAAAGTTGATAACATGACTTTTTAACATAATTTGGAACCTGCCAAATCCAAATATACTTGTTGCTAAGCACATTTTTGAGCTTTAGTGCTACTAGTTTGCAAGAAACAAAATGACCACCAAATAACAATTTTATGCCATTCTTTTTGCATAACTTAATGCTATGTCTTGGTAAAATCATTGTGAGAAATAATGCAGCAATTATGCAAAATCTACAGGTTACCAGGGTATATACTCTTCAAATAGATACAAACTTCTTTAATTATTCCACATTATAACATGCTTTAGTGTATATAACAAATACAGAAGTACTAACAATCATTTTTATTTTATGAGGCAGGGGTTATAAAATGTTAATATGTTTTTTAGGAACACATAGTAGGTACCCAAATTGCACATAAGATACTGAACAAAACATTGGTAAAATACATGTAACAAAAGTTTGTCAGAGTTAAAGATGTTCATCGATTTAACCCCGAAAAGTATGTTGGGTCATCTATAACTAATTTCTACCACTCCTTCAGTATGGACAACATTAAAATACAGTGCTTAAAGTAGTCTGAAAAAGATACCAGTATACACGAACTTGGTGAGGGTAGATTGATGTTTGACCTGAGACAATAAAGCCAAACATATTTTTGTGCAAAACCAAATAGTTATGAGTAGGGTGTTTTGCAGCAATGTACCTTTTTTTTATTTGCCAGCATATGTTGGCTCACTTTATCCATTTACTATGATACTTTATTTTAGAACCTGAGCATGACATCTGTGATACCAAACTGTTTAAATGATATTACTTGTAACATGTTTATATCACTTGTAACATATTTTTACAAAATGTGGCTATTGTTATCTCTGATTTTAATCAGACATACTACTAACTACACAAATATTACCAATGCAAGAAAATAGGCCTAGCTATTTGTAAACGAAAACTCTGGTTTTAGTATAAAGCACCCAGAAGATTAACAGTATACCTAGCAGTTTTGGTGAGT